GGATCTCTCTTTCGCTGACACCCACACCCACATCCACATCCACACCCACCCATCCTAATATTTTTTATGTTTTCAGATGATATCAAGCAATAATTACGAATACATCGAAAGAGATTACATTGTTAAAGATCTCATATGCGATCTTTGCAAAGATCCTCTTCTTGATCCTTACATGACTTCATGTTTCCATACATTTTGTTACCAATGCATTAAACAATATGTCGAAAGCAATTCATCCTGTCCTAAAGAAGGTTGTGGAAAAGAATTGGGTACTAAAGATTTGAAACCACACGAACCTGGCATTATTGTCTCAATGCTCAATACACTTAAAATCAGATGTAAACTTTGCGGAAAATCACCTCTACACAGAGGTGACTTCGATAAACACATCAATGAAGATTGTACTAAAGTCGGCGACAAATGCACGACAGCAAAATTTAGATGTCCGGGGTCGGAACAGAGAGATAAACTCAATGATCGTTTGAAAGCTTACCTAGATGAACAGTTGAGATCAATATTCGACAATTTATTCATCAATACCCAGAATCAGAGCTCATACATCAAACAACTTGAAGAGAGCGAGAAAGAGCTAAAGATTCAACTAGATCAGCAGAAAATTCAACTAGAACAGCAGAATATTGAACTAAAACAGCAGAAAGTTCAACTAGAGTGGCAGAAGACTCAGTTAGAGCAGCAGATGACTGAATTATATCAGCAGAAAACTCGAATGGAGCAGCAGAAGATTCAACTAGAGCAGGAGAGAGCTCAACTAGAGTGGCAGAAAACTCAATTAGAACAACAAAAACACCAGTTGAAACATCAAGAAACTCAACAAAAGCAGCGGAAGACTCAACTAGAACAGCTGAAAACTCAATTAGATCAGCAGAAAATTGATTTTGGAAATCAGATGAACCAACAGAAGGTTCAGTTAGAAAATCAAATGAAATAGCTGATAGTTCAATTAGAAAACCCAATGGATGGGCAGAAAGTTGAATTAGAAAATTGCATGGGTAAGTAGGAGGATGAAATAGAAGAATAACTTAAGAGATTGATGAGCAAAGTGAAACTGCTTTGTAAGTAGACGGATTCATTCAAACAAAATCGTGTTACCACAGAACGGATGAAATCCTTTATCAGGATGTAGGTGTGGGAAAACAAAACACCCACACCGGAAGTTCGGCTTACAGTTTTTGTTGGACAATGACAAATAATTCAATTTTGACCGTGAAAAAAGAAAATTTTAGTCAAACATTTACAGAAACAGATATTCATCCGATTATATGCAGAGTAAAACTTTAAAGAACCTATTGTCACATGGTGAATGGAATAGTCAAGGTTATTGAATTATATAAGAGATATTTACGAAAATTTTTTCGTCAGACTTTTGGAACACTCTATATGGCTTCAATTTGAAAATCACGGTTCATTATATCTCACATGAACTTTGTTTATTTTAGCTTAATATTTATACTCCTCATCCGACTATAATGTCATTTAAGTAAATATATATATCTATTGGCAATCATAAAAGAAGAGGCAGATTTGCATAAGTATAAAGCTATAGAGATCCTAGAGCACTGTTTACTAATGTGATGCTCATTATCAAAATTGAAATTCTAAATTGTAAGTTGATTTTCTGTTTTCGATTTCTACTAGAAACCCTAGAAATTAAGATTCCTCTTATAGAACATTTTGAAACAAAGTGTCTTAATTTTTCTCACAGCAAATTCAAGGTGTGCTGCAGTTGGGATTGATTTGGGTACAGTGTATTCACGTGTTGCTGTCTTTCAACAAGGAACAGTTAAAATCATTCCTAATGAGCACGGAAATCTTTCAACGCCATCTTATGTTGCATTTAATTATAATGAAGTTTTAATTGGTGATGAAGCTAAAAATCAAATAGCCAGAAATCCAATTAACACAGTATTTGATTTTAAACATCATATTGGACATGAATATGATGATTCTACAGCTCAGACTGATATGAAATATTGGCCATTTAAAGTAATTAACGAAGGTGGAAAACCTAAAATTCTGGTTGAATACAAAAAGCAAGTACAATGCTTTACGCCTGAAGAAATCTTTTCAATGCTATTAACAAAAATGAAAGAAATAGCAGAGACTTATTTTGGTAAAAAAGTAACCGAAGCTGTTATAAGTGTTCCATCTTATTTTAATTATTTTCAACGACTAGCGGTACGACGTGCTAGTGTTATTGCTGGTTTTAATATATTACGTGTTATTAATGAACCATCAGCAGCTGCTATTGCTTATGGTTTCGATAAACGGGTGTCAGCTGAACGAAATCTTCTAATTTATGATTTGGGTGGTGGCTACTGTAATGTATCCATTATGAAAATAGAAGATGGTATTTACGAAGTCAAATCAACATCTAGTAATACGACTTTTTTGTCTTTTTTTGTTGAGTTCTAAATTATATAGTTTAGGTAATTTACATTTTGGTGGTGAAGACTTTGATAATCGAATGGTTGCATATTTTATCCAAGAATTTTACCGTAAATATAGTAAAGATTTACAGGAAAATCAACGTAGTGTTCAGCGATTACGTATTGCATGTGAAAGCACCAAAGTATAATATTTTTTAAAAATTTTATGTTATTTCTTTGAAAAGAATCTCTTTTTACAGCGCATGTTATCATCAGCATCAAAAGCATCAATCGAACTTGATTCATTATACGAAGGCATCGACTTTTATTCCGCAATAACTCGTGAATGTTTCGAAAAACTTAATGATGATTTATTCCGTTCAACACTTGAACTTGTTGAAAAAGCTTTACGTGATGCTAAAATAGATAAAGCAAGTATTCATGAAATTGTACTTGTCGGAGGCTCAACACGTATACCAAAACTACAAAAACTTTTACAAGATTTCTTTAATGGTAAAGAACTTAGTAAATCAATCAATCCAGATGAGGCTGTTGCATACGGTGCTGCTGTTCAAGCTGCCATATTAACGGGTGATCAATCTGAATGCCTTAAAGATTTACTTCTACTTGATGTTGCACCACTTTCATTGGTAAGTTAATTCAATAAATGACAAGTAACTTCCCAATAAATTTCGTTATTAAAGGGTGTTGAAACTGCTGGCGGTGTTATGACAGCCTTGATCAAACGTAATACAACAATCCCAACAACACAAACACAAATGTTTACAACCTACTCTGATAATCAACCAAGTGTATTGATTAAAGTTTATGAAGGTGAACGTTCAATGACGAGAGATAATCATTTATTAGGTAAATTTCAATTATCTGGTATTTCGCCTGCACCTCGAGGTATTCCACAAATTGAAGTTACATTTGATATCGACCTCGATGGTATCCTAAATGTATCGGCCCTGGATAAAAGTTCCGGAAGAGAAAATAAAATTACAATTACAAATGCTACAGAATTGTTATCGGAGGACATATCTGTATCATCTATGGTTCCATATAGAGCACAATATTAGAAAGAAAAGAAATGAAATCCTGAATGCAACCCAAGTTCAATATTTTGTCAGCCAGAGATGTCGACATATGCTTACTCTGTTTTATAGAGGGAAATAAAGTACCTATACTCGAAAAATAAAGACAAGTAATGCCTATCGATATGCTTTGCTTAACCCTCGATTGAATATTTAACTAATATGTGCGCGTGATTGTAGGTGCAAATAGGAGAAAAGCACTTACATCCATATTCATATCATTCCAAAACAGATTTGTAAATGATAACGGATAGGTGTGGGTGTGGGTGGGTGTCGGTGTGGGTGGGTGTGGGTGTGTAGGTGTAGGTGGATGTGGGTGTGGGGTGTGGGTGTGGAGTGTGGGTGTGGCTGTGGGTGTCGGTGTGGGTGTGGGGTGTGGGTGGATGTGGGTGTGTGGGTGTGGGTGTGGAGTGTGGGTGTGGGTGGGTGTCGGTGTGGGTGGGTGTTGGGTGTGGGTGTGGGTGTGGGGTATAGGTGTGAGTGTGGATGTGGGTGTGGGGTGTGGGGGTGGGTGGATGTGGGGGTGGGTGTGAGGGGGTGGTTATGCAGGTATGGGTGTGGCTGTGGGTGTCGGAGAGTTCGATTTACCCCCACCCACACCCACGCCGCCCACACCCACACCCATACCTCCACCCACACCCACACTCACACCACACCCACACCCACCCACATCCACAACCACCCCCATACCCACACCCACACCCACCCACACCCCACCCACACCCACACCCACACGCCCACACCCACACCCACACCCACACCCTCACCCACACCACACCCACCCACATCCACAACCACACCCATACCCACACCCCAC